AGCCTGTATGTAGTTATAGCCAACCAATTTTGCTAGGACTGAATTGTTAGAATTCTTAGCCCTATCTGAAAACTTTCCTCCACCTCGAATTTGGCTCCATGGCCCTGACCTGGCTAGCCCAGGCAAGCCTGCTACAACATTGTAAAGTGCAACGAAAAAGATTGGGGTCGCTCTCAGTAGCTCCAAGCAGGTTCTCCTTGGTGCTCCACCTGATGGTTTCATTCAGTGCCTGGAGTTCAGTGTCACAATCATAGGAGCCTTGTGCTGGGGGGAGTCCCTTAGACAAGCCTGATCTTGGAAACTAAGCAGGGTCGACTGTGGTTAGTACTTGGATGGGAGACTTCCTTGGCATATGAAGTCAGGAGGACAGGGGCAGGCTTTATACAGCCACCTCTCTGAATATCCTCCAGGTCCCCAGTAGGGGTCAGACACCAGAGGTCAATGTGACTTCCAGGTGCAGATATGCGTGCACCCCCACACAAATATCCCCCCCCATAACAAAAAAAGTGGTTTCATGAAAAGAATCAGAACCATGTCATTACTGAGCATGTTTCCTAATGAGCAACTGAACACTTTACAAGAGGACTTAATCCCATCATTCACGGTTTCATCGTTAACAGAGATTGCACAATATCAAAGATACTCTGATGGTTCTGGGTAATTATTTGTTCTGGCATATTCAAGATCTAACCCATATGAAAATGTTAAGAAGAATAGCCCTGCTAGATCAGACATCTAGTCCAGCATCCTGTTTCATACAGTGAACAACCAGTTGCCCTGGAAGGCCAGCAAACAGGGTAGAGAGGCCAAGACCCTTCCCTGATATTGACTCTCTGCACTGATATTCAGAGGTTTGAATATGTAGGTTCCAGTTTGTCACCATGGATAGTAGCTACTGATGGATCTAACCTCCATGAAATCCAGTTTCCTGCTATAAGCAGGAATTTTTTTTAGGAATGCCTGTTGCACACACACAGGAAAAAAGAGCGAGCAAAGAGAATGTGGGATGGTTGCACCTCATGCAAGCTGTCCCGAACTGACTGCACCAGTAGCTGGGACCAGCCAGAAAAGAAGAGAGAGGACTACACAGACACACCAAAGTGTGGTAAGTCAGGCAACAGCTTTATTGGTTACAGATTTCTCAGGTTTTGGCACCCTATGAGTGGGGAACAACAGGTGCTGCTGACAGCCTACCCTCCAAACTGCCTATTGGTGATAACAGAGGAAAGAGAAATGGCTTTCAGGTGAGAAGTGGCAGAAGCCACTGTTCCCACCTGATACAGGCCTCTTGGAAGTATGGTCTGTCTAATCTATGCTCATGGCTACTGGCTGTGAATTCTGAATTCCACAGTTTCATTACTCATCGAATATAGTGCCTCAGTTAAAATTAACCATGGGTTTATTCAGATTATAAATTGTTCAAACAAAATGTGACTTCCCTACATGGATGGTGACATAAATATGACAAGACCTACCTCTCAACATTTTTTTTCTTGCTGCACAACCCTGCAAAGTTTAAACAACAGTATAGCTTTATGTTTTGACATCTTTGATTTCTCTCTCCTTTGATATTGACTCCTTTTTGTTTGTCTACAATTACTGTTGCTTTATACCAGGGATCCCCAGCAGGGTACCGACCAAGTCTTTTCAGAAAGTAGGCAGGGTCAGGTGGGTTTTTGCCCAGGAAGATATCTGATTGGCCATTGGAGATCTGATTGGTCGTGTAGTTTTTTTAAAAATGTTGCTTTGGCAGCAGCTGCCACCATAGCACAAGGATCTTCACTGTATGACTGAAGGTAAGCTATGGCAGCCATTTTGTCACTGGCTCCACCTCCAGCTGCAGTATTTTGGGGCAGCCATTTTGTGACTGTGCCCACCACATTGTCTCAAAATACCAAAGGTGCCCATGGGCTCAAAGATGTTGTGGACCCCTGCCTTATACCCCCATTTTAAAAAAAGGTAAAGATCAGTGTGCCTCTGTTCCAGACTGCAAAAACACAGGCAAGAGTTCACCAGCTAGTGAAGGAAGAGCAGCAGGGCTTGATCTCTCAAAACCCATCATACACTTTAATTCAGCACCTCATAATGGTTGCAATGGGATGCATTCTTTAATGAGCAACAAGATTTTTTTGTGGAAGTTTCAGAAACCTTAAAAGCTTAACCAAGTTACCTTCACAATCTCCGTTGCAGATGCTTAGCAAGGCAAGTCTGCTTCAGCTCTACCCATGTGCTTAATTGATCGGTTACTTTGGCACGTGTTCCTTACACTATGTTTACCGTTTTCACTTCCATAATTCCATCGGAGGAACTGACTGTGAGTGCGCAGAACAATTGCTTCTGTTACTGACAATCTGTTTTGCAAAGGAGCATCTCTCCATTCCAAAGGCTGTCAGCTCTAACAACTACTTTTCATCAGTGTAAATGTTCCCAGTGGAGAGGTCAACCTACACTTGTGAGCTTAACTTGCTGACCCAACATTAATCCTGCATTAAGGGGGGGGGGGGGCAGGAGCCAGGGAGAGAACATGCCAAACAGAAATAAATTGAACCTCACCATTATATTTCATTTGCATAATTAAAGAGCCATGATTTGGCATATAAATTATGAGAACAATTTCTAAAAAATGAATGTACAATACAAATACATGCTGGAATGAAAGAGGACAGACTGAAGAGAATACGTTAAGCACTTTCTGCATCACAATGGAGATATATGACTACACAATGGCTGGAATGGATCCCTGAAACCACAGCAGGCTTAAGGCTAGGTGGCAGCTTCCCCTGTCAACAATAATAGGAAGAGATATCAAGTAACATGGAGGTTAAGTGTTACAGTTATTGATTTGGACTGCAACACCTTGCTGATCTTGCTAGTCCATTTGAAGTGGAGTGATGAGAATTGCAATCAGCACAGCTTCCACAATGGCTGCAGGTGTCAAGTGTAATCAGCGTGTCTTGTGTTAACAAGCCCCTCCATTTTGAAAGCAACTAGGAAATTGCGCCTCTTACTAGAAACCATTTAGTACTTTGGAATAATACACGGTTTGTTAACTTTTAGCCTATATATTATAGACTAGTCAGAAACACTAGTTTATTTACATTTTGAACCCTTCCCAGTGGTCTTCTGATACACCAGGCATGGGCAATTGTTCTGGGTATAGACACACAAGTGAAGTTGAAGGTGACTCTGGATAAAAGCTCCCTTTTTGTGGGGGCAAAGGAATTTGCCTTTCCACACACTTTCTATCCAAGTTAGTAAAAGCTACCATGCTTCCTCCATACCTTACAGTATCCTCAGGAATACTGTGAACATTGTCCACAAGGTCCCAGGGTTCTTCAAGGAAGGTGCTCACTTCATAGAATACTTCTGGCAGCTCCCTCATGCAAGCTGCATTGTGGTTAAAAAGGATGGAGGTTGGAGAATTGGATTACTTTTAGCTAAGCTGAAAAAAAATGTAACAACTGGCAACAGGATGGGCCAAACTCAACATTGCAGTAAATCATATGGTAAATTTAGATAGTATAGTTTGAATACCTGGAGCCACACTGAAAGCTTTTAGCAGGAAAATAAGGTATAAGTTTTTAATACAGTGGGCATACACTTAAAACGATCCAAAACATAAACTCTGTAAAATCACTAATTTTCAGGTTAAACTACGCTGCACAAACTTCCTTTTACCACTAGTAGATTATCTGGTAGCCGAAGGCTAGGATGGAAGATGCTACAAACCGTGATGTCAAAGAAAAAGAATGGTTAAAAATGCAATACATTTTTTAGAAACAAAAGGTATTTCTGTTAGAAAATGAAATGTATTTCTGCCCTCTTTAACACATCTGCACATATATAAAACAAGAAATTGAATGGATTTATCTGGGTATAGGTGATATGAAAGACCTCTTCCAGAGACCTTGAAGAGCAACTACCACTCTGATAGACAATACTGACCTGGATGATGGTCTGATTCAGTATAAGGCAGCTTCATTTTCTGTGAAAAAAAAAAGAAATTTGGCCTAGATTTCCACTAATGCATTTGGGTTGCGTCCCAGGAACAGCTGGTAGAGATTGATCTTACCTCCCCCATCTTCTGTAACTCCCTGTATCAGCTGAAAAGCTATAACTAAGGATCAAGGAGACCTTTGGGAAAAGAATGGAACACAGTAGAGTGCCACAGCTTGAGGGGAAAATGGCTGCCAATTCATTTCCCTCCCTTGTGCGCGTACCTTCTACTCATGCAAGTGCTACTTTGGATCCAATTCACTCTCTTCTACCTTTATTGAAAAATGGCAGATGTGAATCTAGGAAAATAAACATAGGTGTAGGCTTGAAAATGATAAATTGTTGACTCTTCTAGCCTCTTGTAAGGCTTAAAACTAGTAATATCGTGTCTCTAGGCTACATCATTGCCTAGGTATACAACAGCACACTCCTAAACAGTTATCCCCTTCCAGGTCCACTGAGATCAGTGGGCTTAGAAAGATGCAACTCTGCTTAGGTTGCAGTTTTATAGAGTGCTAGCTATGAAGCAGCAGAACAAACATAAGAATAAATAAATGTGGCTTAAATGTTTAACAGTTATTGTTAGACAAGGAGGGAACATTAATGCAGTTAATTCATTCTCATTTGTGAAAGCAATATGTGAATTTCTGCGAAAGATGAGCTGGTTGACAAATTACTCAATAAAATTTCTGTGAAAGAACAGCGCACGTAATTTATTCTGCTCATTCAGTTAGTTTCTAAGAACATGATAAACTGTGAGCAGGAGTGGATTCATGGGTATTGAGGAAATAAAAAGACGACAGGCAAGTGCACAGTGTTCGGCTTTGGTATGTCTTCTTGACATACAGGAAATAGATGAAGTCCACAAAGTTGAAAAAAAAATAGTCAAAATGCTTTGATGTAGATTTAACCAGATCTTACGATTCACCATGAGCGTTTAACGTTTGCTGTAGTTGAACACTAAACACAGAAAATAAGAATGAGCAGGGAACCACTTTCCGTGGATGAGACTTCCATATTTATTTTTTTCCCATATGCATAAAAAATGGCAGTGATGTATTTCTATGAAAGAGGCAGGGAATGAGAAAGATGCAGATATATTGGACTGAGGTTTGTGCTTCAAAATTACACCATTCATTTTAAAAACAAAATGATATTTATTTATAACAATTCCTTATATTTTGTCTCTTTCTCTCTCTCTCTCTTTTTAAAGTTGTCAGCTTTTAAAATTGGTTTTTAAAATGACACACGGCATTACAAATGATGGCACTTTCAACCAATGTGGCATTTCCATATTTACACAAACTAAAATAAATTTACAATACATGATAGCATACAATCTTGACATTTAGTAGTAGCAGTAAAACAAGAACGGCATCCATTTTTTCTGTACAAACTATGAGAACAAGACTTTTATTCACATTTTTTTTAAAAAAATCATCGGCAATTTGATCTGACCTATGCATTTCTCAAAACCATTTCTCCTTCCAATTCTCAAACCTTTCATCACATTGCCCACACCTTCACCAGACTACAGGAACTACAAGTTATTAGATCTAACATCTAGACAGAGCAAAAGTTCTCCCTTTCCAATTCCTTTCATGTCTTCCTGATAATCCCCTTGAAAAGAAGCTCTTCCTTTTCCCCCCTTCTTTGTAATTCACTTTCACATTTCTCCCTCAAAACTGCAAACCTATAACTCAAATCTCTTCTCAAGCAAAGTTAGAAAGATACAGTGTCGTTCTTTGTGATTTTTTTCTAATGCTACACCCAGGAATCAGGTGACCCGGGATATTGTTCGGCTCTATAAGAAGGTCGTCTGGTGGAATAGAAGTCTACATAGTTTGTGGTTGTTTTCAGTCCATACTGTGCTGAGTAATCTGTAGCAGCCGGGAAGTGAACTCGATCATCAAAATAGGGGTCTTCGTAGCTATGTGGTGATTGCAAATATAACCTGTACGCATCATAGTTCTTTCTACTGGAATCATCTTGACTGTAGTACAACTGCTGATGCTATTGAGAAAGCAGAAAAAAGGACATCTCAATGTCTTCTACTTTTTAGAGCTATGTAATAGATCTACATGCATAGACACAGCAAATATATTATCCAGGAGCTGTGTAGTGCCTTCATTAACCTTTTTCCTGATCCATAATCCCCAGTGAGGTGAGCTTTTTACAGAAACCCTTTACACAACTGAAACCTATCTTTATAGCCTTCCAATATAAGAGATGTTGATTCAACTTGCCTTCATAGGTTTCTCACATTCCCTAAAACATTAATTTTATGTAGGTCTGCCAAACTTTTTTTAACATATGAAGCAAACCTCAACTATGGTCTGTCTGCAACTATTCAATGGCAAGATTCATAATCTTGAACAAGTGTATTTTTTACTTCAGTGGAACTAGGACACGGATTTTTGATGGACAAAGATGATCACTAACTACTGTTTAACTATTGCAACCAGTTTTGAAAGTACAGGAGGACGAATTTCCATTTTGTGCGATCTTGACTGAGTTCAAGGTATCTGAATTTGACCTATTTTTTCTTATTCTGCCCATTTATGTAAATATTAATTATGTCAAAACATCTGAAGAGTTAGCCTTTTTACTAGTGAGAAACAGATGCCCAATCACAATCTTTCAATGTTTCCTCTGCTATTCTGTTAGGGGCTCATGCTGTGCTGCTTCATCAACCTCCTCCTGGTAAAGGTACTTATAGAGTTGCTTCTTCTTTGCCTTGCTCATTCTTTGCTAATTGCAAATCTTCTTGTGCTGTTGACTTTCTAATTTTGCCCTTCTGCAGCAGTACTTGAGGAATTTTTAATTAGTTATTCAAGTGAGGGGGACCATTCTTTCATAACTATCAAAACACATAATTTGCAGATATTCATTATAGCTGCAAAAAGCAAGGTATTTTGCATAATACTTTGGTACAGCACTGTCTTCTTTCCAACTCCTTGCCTAGGATTAGTTATATATCCTTGAGTTCATCTTCATTTTGCATAAGGAACACCCTTCCTTATTGGGAAATGAATCAGATTTTGTAGGACGTATTTACATGAATAGCCCAGTGTTCTGATTCTGCTTTCTATCAGTGCTTCTGCTGGTGGAGAATGGTAGGAAATTTTGGCTGAGTCCCCCCCTTTCCCACTGCAGACCCCAACATGCCCAACACCACTGCTTCTGGGGTTTCAGGGGATGGAGTGAGCTGCAGCAGAAAAGGGGAGGCAGGAAAGTTCTGTTCTGGGAACTGGACTTGGCTTTAGATTCACAGGACACAACCCAATGCATGCCACTTGCACAATGCCATGATTGAATTAAATGAAGTTTATGTTGCCAAAGCGTTGCGGAGCTGGGGATCGTGGTTTGCTGAGACCACACAAATGAAGTCTCAGACATTTTCTTAATTGTTTGGCAATAAGCATAGAACAAATGCAGAATGCACAACTATGTGGGACTGAACACAGCTAGAAGAGTAACCTTTGCAACTCAAACCCACCAAACCCCTATCTCCCTGGACTGTATTCTACAACATATGCCAGCAGAATAGTTTATCTACCAGGACTGTTGTGCCCCTTAAATTTCATTCCTAGGGGGGTCAGTGGCCCCTCATGAACACCATAGAGTCTAAAACAGGTAGAAATCCCCCTCCCCAATGGAAGCACCCTTCCGCCATCTGGATGGGAGGATATAGGCGGCAAACTGAGCCACCAAACAAAGTTACTTGATAGATAAGTAGTTGATGTAGGCTAGAGGCAGAATAAACATGCTCAGAAAGTAAAGACTGGAAGAGAAATAGTAAAAGTTTTCAGTACAATTTTATAGCATAGAAGGATAAAAAACATGCTCCCTCAATCCACGGTAAAATCTTTTGGAGGCTTCTGCAGGCTAGAAACACTTGTATATATTATATGGAGCTATATATTTACTGGGCTTTATTATTCATACAACCAACACGGGCACAATACTTGCAAAACCGACTGTCATAATCCAGGTAAATAGCTGCTTGGAGTTACAACTACTTCAGACAGGAAGAACTCATCAATTATAATTGTTTAAGAAGCATTGCAGCAAAATAGAATGCACCATCGTTGTTGTGATCAATACTGGCACTCCTTAAATTAAGATCTCAGCGATTACCTGCAGTCGTCTATTTTGGTCCCTTGCTGGCGAAGAATAGGAACTGATATAAATTGGTGATGGTTTGCTGGACCCTGCAGGAAAACAGCAGAACATTAAAGCCAGGATTTGATGTGCTCAAATTTTTATGCTGACTGCCATTGATACCTCACTGAAAGTAGAATGGAATTGTATAAAGTATTTCAATAAATGGTATTTTGAAATATTTTAGGGGAAAAGGGCTACAGGTGTGTCTGTGTGAAGCATCTCCAAACACAATCTCCGTAAAAGATATCTGGACATCTGGCCCTAGGAAAACAGATCTATTCTCATTTCAATGATTGACCTTCTGATCAGCAGACATACTTCTTTGTGGAACTCAAAAACAAATAATTTGGACAAGATTATCTCTTCCAACTTGCAGTGGCTTCTGACAGCAGCAGAGTCGAGTTGTTTTATACTGAACACCTTGCCCTGATAAAATCATATAAAAACACAAATTGCTCTACTGGACCCTTAAAAAAATAAGTGGTACACAGAAAATGGGAATCGAACAGAAATTCCCACTGTTTGCTTGGAGGGAAAAACCCAACAAAATAATACTAGTCCATCCCTGATGAAGAAAATTGAGAAGTTAGCAACAAGGACAAAGGTCTTAAGAGGCTCTCCCAAAAGTGTGAATCAGGCTGGAACAAAAATTGGCACTTCTTTGAGAACCTCTTTGTCCCTTGTTTGCATACTTCATACATATACTCATATAAAAGAAAACTGCCATGTCTGGAGTGCTGTTTTATATCCATATTTTTGCTTGGGGGGCATTTGTTGCTAATGTTACATACTTAGTGGTTGGTGGTGGATTAAAGGTTAAGAAATGCTGATCTAATTTTCTGCCTATTCACTTATTTATCCATTCTGCCTTATAACCCAGGGGCATGAGGCTTATATTAAAGCATCATAGGAGAATAACACGGAATCAGAGAAAACACAGAACATGCAGTAACAAAACTATCAAAGGTCGCCTCAATCATACACGTTTTCCCCAGAACACTCAGCACCAACCAAGCTCTCCAGGGCTAAAACACCCTGCAAGGCATTGACTGAAATGCTAACACTTTAGGTACATACAAAATAATATCAGTGATGAATATTTGGCTAACTGTTGGGAGTGCATCCCGCAACACTAAGACAATATCCTGAAGGCTGTTTTTTTCCCCGTGCTGCATTTGACTTCCTTACCCAGCTATTTCTAAAATGTAGAAGTGGTAGGGTGAGAAGATCAGACTCATGCAGGTTTAAAAGCAAATGAGTTTAAGAAGCAAATGAACTTAGAATAACTATCTGAACCACAAAAACCATCTTCTACTTTGCTGCTATTGTAGTGCAGGTCTCACAAATTATGTTTTTATTAAGGTATGAAAATGTGACTGAAAAAAATCGAAATGCTTCAGTTCTGTGATTCTGGATTTTGCTTGAACATAACCTTAAATGTTTCCATTGCAAACGGATATGATGGTGGAAATATTCTGCTTTAGATCATGGGCTGGTCAAGATAAAGCACCTGGAACCATTTTGTGGAACATACCTTCTCTCTCTCTCTGAATGTTACCTTACTGAATTGTTGTTCCTTCAGGCTCAGTTTGGTTTGTAGGTCCTGTCCCTTTCTTCAACTATTTGTACATATTAAATAGGGCTATGCTGAACAGAAGAAGATACAAAAAAGCAAGGAAGCCCCTGGCTAATGTTAGTCACTGGTGAATTGATGGTGCATTCCTAAACTTACACTCTTCTGAATCCACTGGAGTAAAGCGACTTGGGAGGGTGTAACTGTGCTGAGGATGGTGCTGTTAGGGTTCTATCCTATGATTCCAGGGTGAACAAAACAGCAGCTTTCTGCCAGATTTCATTAGATAACAATATGGTTCTTGAATAAATAAATAAATAAGCAACAGAGGAAAATCGTACAGCAATTTTAAATGGGAGGAGAGGCTATGGACAACAGATTCCTCTTTTGCTTCTATTTTCAGTACAGTTGGATCCTTGTTTTTCCCCCCAAATAGAATGTGCGCTTTGTAAATGAACAGACTATCTGCTGTCATCTCACTGGTCCCTTACCAGTATAGATGTCTTTATGTGCAATCCCATCACCTTGGCTATTGTAATACTGCATAGAAGTCTGTGTCCTATCATAATCGGAACGAGGATCTCTAATTCCTAATAGCGCCGGTGATGAAGATGTGCTGCCAACTGAGGAAAAGGCAGTAAAAAAGAGGGGGAGGGGGAGACAGAAAGAATCAGCATCAGACAAAAAAAAAAGTTTAGAAAAGGCAGAGAATTGATTGGAAATGCTAGTGCCCGCTTTGTAATAAACTGACTTTGACTGCGGTAAAAGTGACAAGGAATGCAACTCGGTGACCACTCACACAAAATCTCTATAAGAAATATTTACAGCATGTTGACATTTACAGCAGTGTGTATAAATTATGCTAAGCCTGAGTTTACCATTAAAAGTTTGTGTCTGAATTTTAAAATACCCTCAGTTGCCTCCTGGAGACTTGGTTCCAGAATACTAGAAAACAGAAATACAAGTTTGGTTTTTGTTTTGAAGGAGAAGGGAACTTTAAAACCAGGGTGATGTGTTGTTTGCCATCCTGTGATTTACCTGTAATTCAAGGTACCCAGTTCTTCACATGCCTCTACTCCAAAATGGCTAAATGAAGCATGTTGGCTAAACTACTGACTATATGGTTCTTTATAAATTAAATGTATATCTATTTTTGATGCTGTGATTTATTTTCTCTCATAGCTTTCTGTTTACTAAGAATCCCACATTTTATACAGAAATGAAAAAAACCTGCTAATGGCAGGACATTCTCTTCTGTATAGAGTTCAAGAAATACCACACTCAGGGACCATGACAACCTTGCATAAGGGGACCTCATACTGTGTATACTGCTGTTCTTACGCTTGATTTTGGATTCACCAGGCCAAATGCTGAAGTATGGGGGTAAACGAGGGCACATTGATTACCATTTATTCTGCAATCAGTACATGGTTGGGAGGATCTAGGAGGCACCTATACTGTCAATCAATCTAGCCCCATGCAGCACCTGAGACCACAACTGATCTCCAGGCAAGAGATCGGTTCACCTGAAGAAAATGGCTGCTTTGGAAGATGGACTCTATGGGATTATATCCCACTAAAGCCCCTCCCCCCAAACCTCACCCTCCTCGGGTTCCACCCCCCAAAAAACCTCTAGGTATCTCCCAACCTGTAGCTGGCAACCCTACACCCACTCACCCCAGAAAATTACTTTCCTGCCCCTATCCACAGACAGCTGTGGATGGACCCTCTGCATGCTCTGAGAAGTGATCTGCAGGCAAGGAGAAATCAAAGACCAAGTATGTGTATTCCTAGATGTACCTGGCTTCTAAGTTTCCAAAGGCATAAAGAGAATAGTTCAGTGAGAAAATAAGCACTGATACTGCATCAAGATGTTTAATTCTTGCCAACAGAAAGGCAAAAGATGCAAAGTGTGTTTGGATTGATTTAGACATTCATGTCCTGTCCTCACATTTATTTGCTTAGGAAGGCAGGATACAGCCACAGCAACTGTGCCTGGAGGTATTTGCAGATTTATCCTGTCGTAGCAAGAGTTTCCTGATTTCAGCATTGTAAACAAAGCCAGATTTAGGTAATAACAAAAAAGCTAATATTTTAAGTTCTTCTTCGTGCTTTCATCTCTGTATGTGCATATTCACATCCCCCCACACTTGCAAAAATAAAGTTCTCATATTTATATTTACAGTGTGCTTTCTGTAAGAATAATAACATCCTATTTTTGTTGTAAAACAACTGTTAAACTAATACAGTCATATCACAATCCATGCCAGCTTCTAACATGTGGAATGGACCACCCAGCTCTTTCTTCTCAGAGGTTTTTGAAAGTAGAATGGACAAACACTTACAGGGCAAGTTTTAAGTCAATGCAATCCTGCAGGATCGTTGAACTGATTTCCCATAACCATTTCATCTATGAAAATGTGATCTCCAATGAGTTTCAGATGGCTCCAATGCGTTACCACAATTCTTCCTACTCGGTGCCATCTTCTACCCCGTAATATCCTAAACTGGTAATTTTTAGGTGAGAGTATAAGCACTGTCTCACACCCAGAGTCTATAAGCGGGAAGAAAGTGTCTGGTGAAAAGTTTATAGGCTGACCCTAATAAATTTGGTCATAATGAAAGGCTGCAACTGTGAGGCAAAATTGCCTCAACTATGTAAGAAGAGGACATGTAGAAGTTAAAACTGAGAGTGAACCTCTAAGGTTTGAAAAGGAATGTACAGGATCCATTCAGGGAAATTAACATCAAATCTGCTCACATACCAGGAAAAAGACTGACCTGACTGAATGATAGGTGACATTTGCTGATTTGTTGTAGACAAGGAGGGATGTGACTTGAATCTGTCACGCTCGAGTGTTGACACTGGGGTAATAAAATGATTTTGATTCCAACCATCCTGTGTAGGAAGAGAAAAGAGGTTACATGAAAAATGAATGGCGTTTCATTAAAATAAATAGTTTAGAGTTCATTGTGGAACTGCATTCTCATGAATGTTAATTTCTGTAAAGTCAATTTTTATGTGCTACCTTTTTATATATGCTTCGGAGGTCACGGTATTGCCACAATGTGTTTAGCACCTGGGCTGCTGCCTTGACAACCTTCAGTGATGACCTGAGGGGGGAGGATGGGGGGGGGAAGACTTAGTGCACAATACTGTAAGAAATGCACATCCTCGACATACACCAGAAAGTGAAGAGCTACATGCAGGAAAAATGGAATTCTGCTAAAATAATGGCACACTGTACATACTTCTGTGATCAGAAGGAATTGTGAACCTTTGTAAGAGGAATGTTAGTGAAGACAGGAAGAAGAGGAGTAGGTTTCCCTACCCCGCTTTTATATACTCTCAGAATGTAGTCTCAGAGCAGCCTACAATCCCCTTCCTTTCCACTCCCCACAACAAACACCTTGTGAGGTAGGTGGGCTGAGAGAGTTGAGAGAACTGTGATAGGCCCAAGGTCACCAAGCAAGCTTCATGTGGAGGTGTGGGGAATCAAACCCGGTTCTCTGGATTAGAGTCCGCTGCTCTTAACCACTACACCATACTGGTGGTATGTGTGCCTTGAAGAAAAGGTCAAGGATCTTCTTCATTTCCATCCAGATTTTTTTTAAAGCCATATGTACATCAAAGAACCGAAGGTTAGATCTGTCACCTCTGACATCACTGATCATTCACTGGAGAAACAGAGTTCATGCACCAGCTTCTTGTACCTTTTCCAGTGGGCAACCAGACTCGTCAGAACTGACAGTACTGGCCAATAAAGGGTGGAGATGGAGGTCAAAACCCCCTTGCACTCAAGAACATCTTTGCATTGGGTCCTTTGGATCCAGGAAATGAGGTAATGGATCCTATGTAACACTCTCAGTCCATTTGGTTTTCAAGTCTTCTGTAAACAATCCCAATATATTTTCACACTATGCCATAATAGCCATAAAGTTCAAGCATCTCCTACCATTAATGGAATGGACCTGCAGGAACCAACCCTATAGACTGTATGATAACTACAGAAGTAGATTCTGTGTTTCAGGGTCTGAGATTAAAAGTTCCAAAAGACTTGAACATCTCCATGCCAATGAAATTTGTACAAATTTGTGTAAACAAATGGTAATATAAAAATAGCCAAAAGATGTGAAAGTCTTCATGCCACTAAAATTTGTACAAATTTTGTCCATAAACAAATGCAGAAGGCTGGCAGGCTCTGTGTGGATTTCAGGGGAAAAAACCCAGTAGATGCCAACTCTTCCTTCTCCTGTGAACAGATGGGAGATACATGAAGGTGGCTCATGAAGGAAGCCAGGAAACACAGAAGTAAAAGCTTCTTGTCTTGACGACTCACATTGTAAGTTCCTCTTATCAGAAACAGGTGAAGGATTTTTAATTGAAAAATTCTTGCTTCACACTTGCCTGTCCCCCCTGCCTTTGGTTATGTTCACCAGTTTTTCTATTCCTCCTGTGTCAGCTAAGGCTTTGGCATTTTCCATGTTTTTGCTGGTGACTTCATGCAGAGCACAACAGATTGCCGCCACCGTTTCATCAGAGAGAATGTTGGGTCCATTGCCTCCAGGAAGGCGATTCACCAGGTCTCGCATAGCATATTTACCTAGAAAAATCCATACGGGAAACCCAAGCTATAAATTACACAGTGATATAGATTTTTAACATCTCATAGACTGATGCTGTGAGGAAAAATACAGATCCAGAATTAAGCACAAGGGAAAAAGTCATTTTTTAAAAAATCAGCTCTATAAGAAAGGGAGGGGGGGGGATCCTGTACTGTACAGAGTGGGAAAGAGATACTTGCAGTGTCATTTTTCAAATTAAAAATGTACTGCATTCTTTTACTGGATTAGGGAATAAAGTGATTAAAATGATTATGGCAACATGCCAAAGTACACAGACATACACAAATCTGGGTGCTTATTTTAGATAAGCTTTTTTTAGCTGAGCCATTTTATAGCGAGACTAATGCAATAAAATTATTCCATAGGTTTCAAGCAATCTGTGGTTTAGAGATATATAACAGATATTTCACTGGACTATGGCCCATTTTTCCCTCCAAAGAGGACTTGGAACTGATGGATAACAAAATGGGGGGAGGAGGAAAATCCACAATTTTCCTTGCCTCGACTGAGTATGAAAATAGAATATATGTACAAGAATAGCTACAGGAGAGGGGAAAAAATCCCTTCCTCAGAACATGGGACTGGAGATCAGTGAAAGATTTCCTTTCAAGAAGGGATGTAAAAGTCAACTTTAAGCAAATCAGTTCATTTTTCAGCTACAAAGGACAACAATACCTGAGGGTACTGGACTTCAGTTATTCACTAATGAAAAGAAATGAGCTGCATGGTAAACAAAAGAAATCACCCTAAGCTAGCATGAATGTTTTAGTTTGGACTCGGGTTATAATTCAACAGCTGCTCATTAATGACTTCCCTGTAAAATAAAAACTGAAGATGTTATTTGTAAATAAATTATGAATAATAGGTAGATTTTATAAAGAATTGTTGCGCTGTACTTTTATATAGCAGATGCAGAAAATGCTGATCCAAAATTAGAAAATGCAGACTACTTAATAGCAATCTTTTATCAAATGTGATTGCCAAGGGCCCTGGTACAAATACAAAGCTGCTCGCATGCAAGGGATTCGCCATTCTCTTGTGTACTGGGAAACAGTCAACTCTCTCCCTCACTGTGGCTTACACTGTATCTAGCGCAAGTGAAACAGTAGATTAGAATTTTCTGCTGTGGTTCCCCCCCCCCACTCTGCGCTCAAGGGTTGATCCCGAGGAACAGTGTAGCAGCCAAGTGCAACAGGAGAGGGGAAGTAGGTAAAAATTGCCTCCCTTCAGCAAGCTTAACATCTAAGCCTGTGACATGAACAGACACTTTGCAAAGCATGTGTGAACACCCTGCAGTTTTGGATTGGAGTACTTAATATTTCAGGCATATGTATCGGAAGGTCTATATGTTATTTACAGTCCGCCTTTCTCACAGGGACTCAAGGCTGATTACACAGAATCAATACAATCAACAAAATATAGAACTGCATAAGTCTGGAAATAACTAGGAATTCTCAAAAGACATCACTGAAGCATAGGATAGGGATTAACATGACACATTAAACGGTGCAAAAATTGTACTACAGAATCTTACAGTAGGCAATACACAGCAGCATAGCACCACGGCCTCTAATCATTTCTCCAAGTAAGTTGGTGAACCATTTTGTACATTGCTACCCTATTACTTGTGCAGAAAAGTCCTCTTGAATAATTCACTTCTGCATAGTTTATGGAAAGCCAGGAGAATGGGAGCCTTCCTGACCTCCTCGGGCCGGCCGTTCCATAACGTGGGAGCATAATAGAGAAAGCACGTGAACGGGCAGTTGTTGATTTTGCCCATTTGCAGGTTGGCACCTGCTTAGAAGGCTCTGATCACATGGGTGAAGCTGTCATGGAGGAGTATGGGGGGGGGAGGTCCCATAGATAAGAGGGACCAAGGCTATGAAGGGCTTTGTATGTGATAGTCAATACCTTAAACTGAGCCTGGTAATAAATAGGCAGCCAATGGAATGTCGGTAGAATGGGAGTAACATGCATGCTCTGTCTAGTTCTTGATAATAGCAGAACTGCAGCATTCTGCAACAGCTTTTTGAACTAATTATGAGGGGAGACCAATGTACAGTGCATTGCAGTAGTCTAGTCTTGATATTATTGTGGCGTGAATCCAGGAGGCCAGATCAGCTGTATCAAGGCTATGTTATAGGCTAAGCTGAGTTGGTAGAAAGCATTTTTTGCCGCTGCATTAACTTGCTTCTTCAGTAATAAAGTTGGATCCAGTATAACCTCCAGCCTTTTAACTGAGTCAGAAAGGGTCAGCTGAATTCCATTCAAAGTGGGGAGAACAATATCATTTAAGACCTCTGCCTTCCCAAGTAGCATTACATTGTCTTTTCAGGGTTTAGTTTCAATTTGTTCACTTTTAGCCAATTAACCTCTGCAGCCAGGCAGCTATTTAGGACCTCTACTGCATTACCAGGAGATTTGGATAAGGCCTCCCAATACATACTTCTGCCTCCCGGCAGCTCAACAAGATGGTGTGATCTACTGTATCAAAGGCTGCAGATAAATCAAAGATCAAAGATTAGTACTTTGGCTTCAATTAAGATTGAATGGGAAAATTTCATTGTAACCTTATTTATCACGGTACATTTTTAAAAATACTCATCTTTCTTGTATTCATTATAGAATGCGATTCCAGTTGTACCAGATGCTAAACACAGGAAACATAAATGGCCCCAAGGAGCTAAACATTAATAGAGATTCAAAGACTTGAAGAATCAGAATGGTTATACTTTGGTCATCCAGGCCAGTTGCTCACAATTTTCTACTTCCCTGGAGCCCTGGTCTGCATTGAATTGTCTGCCACCCAATCCCTGTACATTTGCCTTGGAATTCCAGAGAATTCTGGAACATGCTATAGGCATCAAGAACAGTCAGGCTTATCAACCCCACCGGAACTGACAGCACAGCTTAGAGCTATGCGATGTAGGAGAAGTGCCACTGCGGTGGACTACAGGGTCCCTAAGGGAAGTTTTGTCTCCCATTATAGACCTCATTGAGCAAGATTCCAAGGAATTCAAAGATTCCTCAAAATGTGGTTTGAAATGTCAATGAATTGAGCCATTCAGTATTTGTTACAACAAAACCAGATGGAAGAAAGAAGGATGAAGAATTAATCATCTGTAGGAAACTGGTAGTGTCAGCTATCTAAACACATCTTCATACCTATATCCACATGTTGACAGAAATACGCATTAAGACCGAAGGAAGGAAGGAAGGGAGGAAGGTTTTAAAAATAATTTGGAAAACCCTGTTGATCTTAAATGGAAAAATATATTTGGATTCTGTCAAAAATCCATTATTAACATAACGGATCTTGAGAAGGTTACGACTTTATACCAAAGATGAAGAATTTCGTTTTCAATCAGGCTTTGCACACATAACTTCCTGTCTGAAACAGTTCATTTTCCAGGAATTTCTGGCTGTTGCAGAGAATCAAAGGTACATAAAACACAATTAATAAATCCATGCTACTGTGTTTTCTTGTGCTGACAACCTGTGCATCTTAAGTGTACCCCAGTCCTTACCAATAAGCTCCTTGTTGCGAACATCTAATGCCATATTTCTCAAAGCGGTGGCCACAGAAGAAACAACCCTGTCGTTGTCCATTCTTAGCAGTTCCACGAGAATCGGAAGCCCTTTCTCTTTTCTAACAGCAGCTCGGATATAAGCTGCAAACTGTTATACAAAACACAAAATTATTTGCAGATTCATGTATTTTTTGCAAAAAGAACCAATATAATTATCTACAAAATTTAATACCTTTTAGGAGCACAAATGGGAACAATTGCACTCAGCTCCCATTAATTTAAGTGGGTGTTTGGCATCAACATGGCCTTTGAAGATGTTTCATTATGGGCCACAGAATAATACAATTAATTAAGAGATTAAATGAAACATACTTAGTGTTATTATGGCAGTTTTAATAGCTATCAAGGAAGCAGTAATCTTTTATTTGGGGGAAAAAAGACAAAAATCTGACTTAATTTTTTTGCTTTTAAAAATTAGCTGCTAAAAGAAAAACTGTCCCTTATTCATGCATCTTTAAAAGGGAGATTTTTGAATTTCAAAAAAGATTAAAGGGAAGTAATGTGGTGCTTTTACAGGATACCAGCTGTGATGTTCACAAGCAGGAGTGGTTCAGGGATAATACTTATTTGTGAACAACAATTAGTCTTCTCTTTTTGTTGATAAACCTATCTGTGTCATAGCTTAATTTAATTAAGCAAACCTTTCTTATCTAGCCTTGGGGTGGGAGTTGAATTTTGAACCTTTGCCAGAGGCCTAAAGTTAAATACAATAAAGTGATGGCAACAGTCCTTTCAATTTCACTAGATATGTGTTAGGAAGAAAACCTCACAATAGTGGCACATTCATAATGTTCCTCATAAGCATTTCACTTTCTGAATCTGGGCACTGTGAAAAGAATGACGGCTGAAACAAACAAACAAACAAACAAGGGTGGAGAACCAAAAAAAAAAAAGTACAATGCTTTGCAACAGCTAATGTTTATGACAACTTTTTTCCTATTTAGATGGAAAGTTTTACTTCAAATTCAAACTGGGGAAGGCAATGATACAACTCAAACACAAAATGGAATGTGAGAAATCTTCTAATCTGTCTTAAGTGCACATTTAAAAATACAAATTTACATGGGTGTAGCCAAATACTTGCAAAATGTCAAGAATGGAGAAAATAACTGTGCAGCTGTGTCAGGAATAATTCTACAAAGAATGTTGCAGACAGTAGCCACGCTGGTTTGCAGTGGGCACAGCTAGATTCCAGTCTCGTAGCACCTGAGACACCAACAAGATTTTCAGGGTATGAGCTTTTGGGAGCCAACTGTGATCGGATATCTGATGAAAGGAACTTTGACTCTTGAAAGCTCATACCCCCAAAACCTTATTGGCCTCCAAGATGCCACTGGAATCGAACCTAGCTGTTTCATACCTCCTTGTAGAGGCCAAACTCGTGCTGATAGGGTTGCCAAGTCTGTTTCTCTTTGCAGTGGGGGGCTCCTGGACAATGTCCCGAGTGCGCGCACGCCGCATGCACGTCAGCCGGATGTGATGTGATGACGCCGGGCACGCTGGGGGCAGGGCCCCAGCGTGCCCGGTGTCATCACGTCACATCCGGCTGACTTGCACGCCGGGGTGGGGTTCCCCCCCGGGGCCCGATTCCGCGGCGGCGAAAATCGGGCCTCCAAAGCGGGGGATAATCCGCCCCTCGGGGGGACTTGGCAGCCCTACGTGCTGAGTACCAAGACATTCTGCTCAGCATCCGCATGTAAAGGAGAAGACTGGGCTTGAGATTTTCATGGAAGCACTGCAGGAAATCACTGATTCAGCTGTATAACAGTGCCATCCTAAGAAGAGTTACACCCTTCTAAGTCCACTGAAGTCATTGGGCTTAGAGCACTTAAGATGGCACTGTGAACAAAAAATTGTTAAGAGGTTTCACTAATGCTAATAACTTAGGGTCACTTTAATTTTGTGCCAATATACTGGTGGTATAACTGTTACAGGTTCATATATCTAATTATATTTTTTGCTTGAAAGCAGAAAACAAAACAAACCACCCCCACCCCCAGTGTTCCCTTTAGCCTCCAGCTCACAGATTTTTGTCTTGGCTCAGGAAGGAGGGCTCCAGAGCAAACCTAATTTATGCAGTAGCCAAATCGCTCACAACTTTAATGCCAGGAGCTCACAATTAGAATTTTTGCTCACAAGACTCCACAGCTTAGAGGGAACATTGCCCACCCCCCAAAACAAGAACAACAACAACAAAAACAACAACAGAGAACTAGCTCAGAAGAGGTCTTGATATCTGAGGCAGGTTCCTGGATAAAGTGGTTCACAGGATCACCTGCCAGCGGCTGCATGAAAAACATCAGGCCCGAAAAGAGTTACAACACAACTGGTTCTCCGCTGTTTCAAAAACAGACTATGTGAAATGTCAACAACCACACATTTCATACCCTACCTTCCAGTTGCCTGCAGACAGATTCTGGAGAGATCCTGCAGAGCCCTCCAAAGTGGCAGGATTGGAGCTTTCAGCTAGAAGAGTTAGATATGGTTTTACTACAGAAGGATGCCACAGCATTTCCACACCTTTGGGAGACTTGGACAATCCTGGTATTGGACCAACTCCATCCCACTGTGAAAGATACATACTCCTTAATACATGTAATGTCAGCTGTTTAAGCAAAGATTCAGAAATTCCACCCTGATATATTCTCAGAAGTAGCCATTTCTGTTCTCAAGCATGGGTAGACGTATCCTTGATACACACCTATGCCAATTAAACAAAGGGAAAGAATATAATGAAATAAAACAAACCTGATCCTCTTGTGAAGTTTTCTTCTTTTTCTTCTTCTTCTTCCCCCAGCAACTTGGCTCTGAATCTTTACTAGGCGACTCTTTTCCAAAAAGTCATCCAGTTCATTTATACCCAGAAGACGAGCCTGAGGTACCTCAAGCTCTAGACGGTAGGAAAGGTTTCGTAGTGTGCACACACAGTTTTCTACTGTCTGTAAACCAAACACAAGGAGATTCTGTGGTGAAGAAAACCAATGATTCTGGATATGAGTGTGCATAGTAACTTTACTTTTGGAAAAGCATTTAGGGAACAAGGTCTTCTGAATTTTAACCAAGATGAGGCTTACACTAATCCCGCGTTATCCTTAGTTTAGCATATTGGTTCTCAAACGTGTTCACAGTGAACCTCCTCATGTCAACAGAAACTAGAAATGTCTGGAAGAGTCAAGGGAAAAATGGCTTTCTTTGACAATTTTTAGGGCTGGGCACAAACTGACTGATGAACCAAAGTTTGTAATGAATTTTGGCCAGTGGAGTTCGTGAATCAAAGCCTGTGAACTGAGAAATCGCAATGAACTTCCCCCAAATTTGGGGACAGTTCCTGGTGGCCC